TATTTTTAAGTTTCTTTGTTTATTTAACCGTTTGATTTGAGCAGGAAACTCGTTTGCCTTAAGATTTTTTGGTTTGTTTCAGTGTAATGAATATTTATTATTGATCCGTGTCACTGATATGAAGGTTATTAAAGTTTTATACATTTAATGTTGTTGAGATTATGGGATTTTTTTAAATTAGTGTTTTGCTCTCAGACCAGCCAGCTGCATTAGATGCATTTCAAAATATAAACTTTTGTTATAGTTTAGTTTATCCTTAATGTAGAATGTAAAATACAAGACGTCATTAATAAAAGTGATAAATTATATCGTTTAATAGAGAGTTGAAAGTTAATTTGTGTTTTTAACTCCAAAGTTTTGCTGGAAAAGTTTGAAAATTACCTGGAAAATGCTTGAATTTTACTTTGGAGACGTGAACGAACCCTGAAAATTAAACCAGCATCCTTAACTCGTCTAATTATGAGCAAAACGCTTTAGTTGATCAAGTTTAATCAAATCTGCTGAGTATTATAACTGCAGTTTTTCATGCATGTTTGTGTTTGAATTGATCGTAACATCACTGTGTAAAGTTTCCGCCGCACTGTGGCACGTTGGAGCCAGAAGCCTGAACAGGAACCTCACTTTAAGCTTTATTATTATTATTATTCAGGAGGTGAAACACATCGGCTCGTCCCACAACCGCAGCGCTCTGCCGTTTGCTGGTTTTGGCCCAAAGGTCGTCACCAACCAGTACAACAGTCCGTCTGGCCTCTACTCGTCTGACAACATCAAGGACTTTAACTCCGCTGTGGACGAGGTGAAGACGAACGAGCCCAACAACAAGTGAGTTCTGGTTAAACGTCCGTCAGAACCCAGTCAGGTTTGTGTGGTTTATTAGTGCAGATTAAGGCATTTTGGTTAATAAACCAAAGTAAAGAAACCTGATTATCCAGATGAGGAGCTTTAGGGCCACTTCCAAAGAAAAGTCCAAATCTGCCTTTTCTTTTTTCAGAAAAATTCGGATGCTTCATTTTTCCTCTGGTTTCTCCAACACAGACATGCTAGAAGTGTCAAGTCCAGGTTCTGAACAGTCTTTTCTTGGTTTCGGCTCCGTTTGGTTGAATTACTGCATCGATGCGGCGTAGCACGGATGAGATCAGCCTGTGGTTCTGCTCTGTCTATATTTGTTTTTGTTAAATGTCTGGTGTGACGACAGGAAGGGTTTTTTTAGNTTCTTTTTTACTTATAGGATCAAATTAACTATCAGTTGTTGTCTATTTTTGCAAGAAACAACATATTTTTCAAAAGAATAAAGTCAGAAGTCCGTTCAGATCTACCTTGGAGTTTCCTGGAGTATTTTTGTTAAAAAAAACCTTTGAGTTGTTTTCAATCGGTCCTTTTTGTGTTGAAGCCACTACACTTTTATTCCACAGTAATCATTTGGGGCTTTTATTTTGTTGTGGTTAAAAGGACTTCCTGTCACGCTCTGGTTCCATAATATGGATTTCCTGTTTGGTTATAAAGAAAAGTGTCATCTGTTGTGTTGGTGCCGCGTCTCCAAAGTATCTTAACGAATGTTATGTGATCAACAAAGACGTGTTTGAACAGTTTTGATGCTAATGTTGAGTTTTTCCCGTCTTTTCAGAGCGCCATCAGAGCCGGCAGCGGTGGGAAAGCGACCGGCGTTACCAACGGACTCGGAGGTCTACAAGATGCTCCAAGAGAACCAAGAGTCCGACGAGCCGCCGCGGCAGTCCGCTTCCTTCAAGGTGCTTCAGGAGATTCTGGAGACAGGTGCCGATACCAGACTGTTCAAAACTCCTGCAGTGCAGATTAATGGTTTCATAGTATGAAAACATACATTTCTGTTTGTTTTGTAGGCGATGCGGACAAACCGTCAGGCTTCAGGAGCGTGAAGGCGCCGACGACAAAGATCGGATCTTCTGTCGGGAACACGGAGAAGCTGCCCGTCTGCGATAAATGTGGCTCTGGGATTGTGTGAGTATTCACACAGATCGATATAAGGTCACACTGAGGTCACGATGGGGTCCAAAAAACGTCAAGTTGAAAGTAGGGCTGGACAATAAATCAATAACAAATATATATCGCGATAAACACGTGATCAATATCAGTAAATGATACATCTGATTCAGTAAATCCAATAAACTCTGATCCAGAACCGCAAAGAAAAGTTTGTGGAATCAACTCACTCACTCACGCCGTGGTTCCTTAGCAACTCACTCATTCCTTGGTTGCCTAGCAACAACCTGCTGAGTAACTGGCGCAGCAGCAGTTTAAAGTTTCGTCACTGTATCTCTTAACTGCTTCAAAATGAACGATGTGGAGTGAAAACTGGATGAAACAGGAATCGGATATTAAAACAAAAACTAATCAATACTTATCAATAGACTGTTGTGAAACAATTACAAAGTGATACGTTTTCAGCCCAGAAGGGACTAAATGGGCCACGAAATTTTTTTTTTTTTTTTTTTTTTTTTGTAGTAATATTGCAAAAATACTCAAATTTAATTTAGTTTTTAATTTTTAGTTGCTCAATGCTGAAGAAAATGCAAAGTGTTTGTAGGAATAAGCAGAATAGCCGCTGATTATTATGTGGTCATATTTATGATGCAAACTGAATGCGCGGTGAGACCAATCTGAGCGCATATATCTATGTGAACGAACAATAATTTATCTCACACTTGATTCAGCTTCTAGTAACAAACATTATGTTAACTATTAGTTTGGTCATTAATAATTTACAAATCAATATTTTGATTATGGACAGTGATTTTAAAAAAGATGAAAGTCCTGATTCACTTTTTTGTCAGACATTTTGTTAGCGCATGGCTAATTGGTTTAGTCATTATCCAGCCAGGTTTGAGGACTGATTCAGCTCATTATGGGATGTCAGCTGGTAATGAAGGGACTTTTATCTGAAGTTTGTCTCCACCTTGTGGCTGAATGCACTTATACTCTGGAGCCATCTGTTAGTTATATCTTTTATTGATTTTTAAAAAATACAGCTTCGTTACTAAATCAAATTATAATTATAGTTTTGTATAGAAATTATTTATGATGGGTTTTTCTTACTGAGGTTAAAGTGGCGATTGGAGCATCTTTAACCTGAGGTTTTATGGCAGATTGTTTTTTTTAAAAAAGTGATAAAGTTGAAAATTACACGATTTTTTTTTTCCAGCTCAGCTTATGGTGTTAATTTCTGTAAAATGACGTTTTAACCTTAAATTTCTGGTTTTAACCCTTTGTTGTGCCGGTCTTTGGTCTTTCTGAGCAACTGACCCTGTTGAATGTGTTGCCAGGGGGATGGTGGTGAAGCTGAGGGAAAAGTTTCGCCACCCTGAGTGCTACACCTGCACAGCCTGCGACGTCAACCTGAAGCAGAAGGGACATTTCTTCGTGGAGGAGCAGATTTACTGCGAGCAGCACGCTCGGGAGCGCGTCACTCCGCCGGAGGGCTACGACGTCGTCACCGTCTTCCCCAAGTAGAGCGCTCCGCCCCGCCGGCCTCGGACTGCACGCCGCCTCCCGCTCTCAGACACAAACAAAGAAAAACCACGATTTGCACATTAATTTTGGCCCCGGAGTCTGTTATCGATCATGAAACTGTGTTGAAGTCCTGCTTTTCTGTATGTTTTTCTAAATCATGAAACAACTGTTAGTCGCCCCAAATAAAACTTGGATTTTTATACAGTGAATAAATATTTTTATACTGCAGAAACATCCCAAAGCATGATGGAACATGACTGCCAAATAAATCTTTTAGCTTTAAACGGTTGGTTTGTGATTATTGTTGACTGAAGAAGTTAGAACTGCATCAATCTGCCAATCTGATGTTTCAGTTTTTATTTACATAATCAGGAATGGATTCAGAGTATTTTTTTTAAAGGTTTTGTTGGCTCTAGTGGCCTTTTTTTGAAAGTAGTTCAACAGGAAAGAGGGTTATGAGAGAGGGGGAAGACATGCGGCAAACGTCACCAGGCCGGGAATCGAACCTGTGACCACCGCCACGAGGATCAAGGCCTTAATATGTGGGTTGTGCTTTGCCCCTGCGTCACCACAGCAACCCTCAAAGTATTAGTTTGAGCAGGTTGAAGTTTCTCCAAACTAAACTCCCTGCTTATCTTTTTACTAAACCAGATGCATGGAAATAAAAATGACAAACTGTCAACAAAGAGCAGAGAAACCTGTTCAGAGGAATTCATTGAGACTGACTGGTTCTGCTAATATGGAGCCCGAAATATATCGCTGCTAGCTCAAGCAGTTAGCTCATGATTAGCCCCAGATTGCTCACAGTTTTGTGTTTAATTTTAATCAGATTGAGATTATCTGAAACCACTGACAGCCAATTTACTGCTGTAATTTTTGTTTTTACTTCTGTAATTTTATTATGAAGCATCGCACTCCCCCCCGCCTCTGATAAATGACAACAATAAATAAGTGTAAGTTATAGTATTACATATTTAATAAAAAACATACAAATATATACAGAACATAATTCTGACGAGTCCCTTTAAACCTTCTATGATGTCACCAGAGGTTTTGCATAAATAATTTACAGCAAAAAAAAAAAAAAAAAAAAAAAAAAAAAAAAAATATATATATATATATATATATATATATATATATATATATATCTAAAATGACAATAGTTTGCTACAAAATATAGGAAAAAAGTGAGTTTTATGGAGCTAAATTAGGGTCAGAAAGTTTGTTCAAAAGAAAAAGAATGTTTAACTGGGGGCGGGGGGACAAAACTTGAATCTGAAAAGTAGACTTGAACATTTTTTGAGTTTCACATAATTTTTTTCTCCTGTTTTAATTTTTTTTTTCTGTTTCAATTTTTTTAAGTTTAATTTTTTTCCCCCAGCTTTAGAATTTTTTTTCAGGTTCAAATTTATTTCAGATTAAAATATTTTTTCAGTTTTATTTATTTTATTTTTCTTTTTTTCCAGTTTGAATTTTTTTCAGTTTCAAAATAATTTTTCTGTTTCATTTTTGTCTTTATACACCCAACTTTATGGCCATATTTTAGCTCCATACAGTTTGACATTTTCAAGCTAAAGAATCAGTTTCTACCAGGAGTTTTTGATGACATTCTCTCCATGGATCGACCTGAAATAAATTGTGACCGGAATAAAACTTTTGCAGCTCAGTTCATCAGCAGCGGTGGCGCACCAGGACTCTGCGGGAGATCCCGCGTCCCACGCCGCGGGGTTTGCGTGATGGTCCGCCATGCGCAGCGTCTCCGTCAGCGCCCAGATGTAGTTGCGGGCGAAACGCAGCGTTTCTATCTTGGTGAGCTTCGCGTCCTCCGGCAGCGCCGGCAGGATGTTCCGCAGCGCGTCCAGCGCAGAGTTCAGGTTGTGCATCCGGTGGCGCTCCCGGTCGTTGGCCTTCATTCTGCGCTTGCCGCGCGGTCCGCACTGCTCTGCGCTCGTGTTTAGCGCTTTTCTGTCGCACATCTTGCGCTGCTGCTGGTGCTGGTGCAGTTCAGGCGAGTTTCCATCAGAGTCTCTGGAAGACATCCTGCGCAAATTAGCACATTTTAATACCATTAACGGGGATTTTACACTGATTAAATCCTTAAATAACATCCAACTTTCCACCTAATTTTTATTTTATTTATTTATTTATTCATTTATTTATTTTTCAATTTTCAACTTTAATCTAAATCAACTAAACAAGAGGCACCTGGATGGATCTATTTGCACTTACTTTTGCGGACAGGTGAAGACGGGACGCGGAGACAGACAGACGGCCGTCCTCTGCTGTCGCTGAGGCGTCAGACCCGTTTATGTGCAGCTGACGGTGCGCGATGGATGCGCATCTTTGTCATTTTATATGCCCTTTATCTTATCTTTTTGCGCAGCCTGAATCAACAGCGGCCGACAAATGGCCAATCAGCGCCCGAGCAGCTCGTCCCCCTCCGGTCCCCTCATTCTTTACTGCTTTTCTTATAATATGCTTCAAAAACTGATGCAAATCTGTAACATAAAACATCCCTGGTTAAAAATACCTATATATTTTTAAACATTATATCTGCTTTGTGGTTGTTAAACTACTTTTAAAATCCGTTCAGATAACTGCAGGTGCAGAATTTCATTGCAGATAAATACATTTTGAAGAAAATTCATTTTATTAATCAGTTGTCCACCTTTCTGCATCAGAACACAAAACATGCAAGTAGTTCCGGTATTTAAATTCAGATGATAAAAGTTGGACATTAATTTACAGTCATTTTTCTATTTTATGTCACCAATTTAATAGAAAATTTATTTGAAAAATAATTTGGACCTAAAACTCTAAGGAATAATAGCAACAATGTTGTGTTTCTTTAAAAAAAAAAAAAAAAAAAAAACCTGAAATAAAGTAAAATAACTACTTAATCCATCAACTGTTTTATTTTGGTGTTCTCGTGTGTTAAGACATTTATTTCATCCAATAATTTTAATTTATGTTTCTAAGGTTACATGCAGACATCTTGTTGTTTTTGATCAATTGCTGCCTGTTTTAGCCTTCATTTGGATATTAAACTTGATGTTTGTACGTCCATTACTCACATCCAGGGATAACAGATGGAAAATTTGCCTCAAAATGAACTTTGGTGCTTAAATATAACTGTTTATTGATGCTCTAAATCCTTTTTATTAATGTATAAATTAGCTAAACTAAAGAGCATCTGTATTTCCACCTTTTACGCACTCAAAATGTCGCCCTTAATATCGCACCTGCAGATTAAATGTTGTTTAAAATTTTATAAATTAGCTAAAAATCAACTCCAGGAGCTCCGCCGCTGTAAAAAATTGAGAATAAATATATCTGAAATTGTTTCAAAACAACATTTATTTCCATGATCTTTTGCGCGTATTTTCAAGTTTCCAGTGAAAAATACATCATTGTTTTCAACTTTGTAAACCAAAGTTTCACTATTTTACTAACATTTGGTCTTCGTTAAACGTCTAGAAAGTGTAAAATTTTAACTTTTACTGGAGAAAATTATGTTTCTAACCACGCACACATTTGGTTCAACATTGGCTTTATGCGTTGAAGCGCAAACTTTCCCCGTTAGGAGTGAGACAGTTACGCACGGAGCTGCAGAGTAAACCGGATCCGATTTGACCAAACCTGCTGTTTGGATTCAAAGTTCAAAGCCTCGTTTACTGTGACGTAACAGAACAAACCCAGTTTCTGCTGTAAAAGTGGCCATACACCTGTGCGCCATGACATCTCCAAAAACATGCCCATTTTGGCCACAACCTGATGGCGCGTCGCTCTTTACGGCGCGACTTGATGTTTTCTTCAGGAGGTTAAACATTAGTGGAGTGGACAACAAGCAGCGGAAGCCTTGGAGCTTTGACTAGGACATGATTTACTGACAAACGCTCACAAAGAGCTCCACTTAACTTTCTGTCTAAATATGTGTTTTGGGGGCATTCTGATAACCATATGCTTTCAATAAACTGGACAAATATACTTGTGCGATAGGAGATGGTGGCCGACTGTTATAAAAAGGCAGGAAAAACTCTAAAGTAAACGGAATACTGCCACTTTACAAATACCCATCGGTGCCAAATCCATGTTCGGATATCTTGGACAGGTGTGCGTTCGGACCTGTCTGTCCCTTTTTGATTTTTTATATGATCGGCGTCCCGCTTATTATGCAAAGTGTGGGCAAACACGAGAGGCCAGTTGCTGCGGAAATGGCAGAAAGTGATTTAACAATATTTAACAATAAACTGAACAAGCTGCGGAACAGGTGATATACCTGCCGACGCTCCTGATTAACGCTCCGCTTTATGCGGCTCTTTTTGCGTATTTATTAAAGCAAATCTATTTATTATTACTTTAGCAAACAGAGGAACCAGGTGGGGCTTTATTTTCGTCTTGAGCTTTTTGTTTGAAGGACGTTTTGAGGGGGACAATCAAAGTCCAACAACTCGCTGACCAGATTGTTGTCGATCCCAAACCAGCAGCGGAGCCTTTCAATGCGGCCCCCTCCCTCTTCTTCTGTCTGCCAAAGAGCTGCTGGGAGGAAGAAAAAGGAAACTTCTTCAAGTGAGGAAAAACATCTTAAAAACATTTAATTGCAACCCGGATGCCATATGTACACCTCTTGTGAGACCCCCAACAATGTGACTGGCTTTTAGAAACCATAGAGTGCGTCTTTGGAGACATGTGCGTCTTTGGAGAGGTGCGCGCGTCGTGACCAGCGTGACCCCCAACGCACTTTACACAAGAACTAATTCACTTTTAATGTGCTTTGGAGTTTCCTTTCACAGGCGACGCATTGTACGTCTCACCCCGGCTTTTGAAGGCAGTGTACACCAATTACAGTGGAATCGCTGCTTCTCGGAGACGGTTCGTCTTTTTGTTGGACGGTTTGGACGTTTAAGGCACAAAATGGGGACAAGTCGCTTCTTTTCACCCCCAAACAGCTGAAGAATATTTCTTTTTATTTGTTTTTGATTGCCTGTTTATGCGTCCATTAGTACGTCCAGTTTAATAGGTAGAAAACGTGAATTTTATGCTAAATAAACGGACAAAAGGGTTTAAATATTTGATATTTCTGAAATTATTTAAATAATAATTTCCAATGTATTTTGGCTCTGATTCCAAAAATATCTTTATCACTTGAACACATTTCTATATTTTGACTCATTGCCAACACTAAAACTTCATATCTTTTATAAAAAGTTGCATAATGCTCTCTGCTACGCGCAGCTAGCACAGCCTGCTATGAATGCTAAGGCTAGTTAGCATAGCCACCGATAACGGCGGATATTTTTTTTTTCTTTAATGGTAAGTTGTTTCTCTGCAATTAGCACATTTAACAGAAAGAACATGAGATTGATTGACAGCGTTAAGACCCGCCTTCTGCCTCTGATTGTTTTTGATCAGATTGGTAATAATAGCTCTGGGGGAGTTGGAGGAGATCGATCTTTTCACAGTTAAGTCATGTTAAGCTGTAACAACATGTTGACAGTTTCAACAAATATGGGGAAAAACATACTTCTTATAAAAGTTATATATTGCAGTTTTAATGTCGTGTTTGAAGTTTTTTTTCTGTCTAGACTTTTCTACCAGACATCTTAATTTCGCTCTGTAGATCAAGGCTGTAGAGGCTAGCGCTAACTAGCTGCTAATATGCCCTTGCTAGCTAGCTGGCTAGTTAGCTCTTCGTGTCAAGCTGCAAAATGACAAAAGTTCCAGTAATACTCTTTTAGATCTATTTTTGTTGTACTTAGGTTGGAAACTATCCAAGTTAAAGATGGATAGTAAATATGTAAAAAAAAATAATCTATTTTTATATAAAAGTTATATACTGCAGATTTAGCTTCAGTATATTTTCTTAGGATTCTGTGTAAAATGCAAAGTTAGTCATTAAGCGGAAGTAAAAAGATACATCCTGAATATTGGATGTATGCATAGCAATAGCTAACTTTCTGGATCTCCACAAGCAAACATTTGAGCCACTGAATTAAAAAATTCTGTTTTTTAATCTTTCCCCTGGAGTTAAACACAAAGCTCCTTTGATGTTGATTACTTGATTTCTGCTCTTTTAGACTAAATGTGAAATCCAATAATCTGACATTTCTTATTGAGTGGAGATGTGATCCAATAAAAATTAAGTTTTATCAACTGAATTTACAACAGATGAAGGCTTTTCAGTTACGAGTGCAAAAATACTTAGATACTTACATATGAATTTTATATATATATATATTTTTTTTTTGGCAATTTTTTTAATTAGGAAAAATTTCAAACTGACTTTTTTCAATTTGTCAGTCTGGGGTATCTTATGTAGAATTTTATACCAAAAGTGAATTAAATCCATTTTGGGATAAGGCGGTAACATTACAAAATAAGTTGATGGATAGATGAATAAATAGATCTTTCATAAAATAAAGAACATTACAGGTAATCCTGAGCATCTTCTTCAAGAGACTGTCTTAGAAAAACAGATTGTCTTCAGTTAGAGGCTTCTTCTGCACTGCTGTAATACAGACCTCTACAGGAAATCCTTCCTATCCACAGCCATCAGCATTAATAATGCTTAATTTGAGGAAAATAATATAATTACTAAAGTGTTTTATTATATAAATAAAAAGGAAAAATAAATAAATAAAATAAAATACAAAATATATTCAATAAATAAAAGCATGAAAATTATGTGTAACAAAATTTTAAAATAGATTTAATTGAACTTGGAGAAAACCATTAAACTTTTTTTCACATCACAGTTAAAATCCTGTTGTTGTTTTTCTTGTTTGTTTCTTTTCCTCTTTCGTAACAGTTTGAATATGGAACACCAACATTAGTGGGTTTAGCAATCCCGTTGTTTACAACTCAGATCTGCATCTCATGCGGAACAAACACTCACACCAGGAGTCTATGTACTCAGGCCAATCAGCATCGTTGTCAGATCTACACATGCGCAGACGGCGCAGAAGCTGCTTCCTGAATCAGGGTTAGCTTTCTGCTCGCTGCGGCTCCCTGTAGCATTTAGATGTGAGCCGAGGGGCAGAAAGTCAGGCTTTATATGAGAAGTGAACAAAGAGGAAGAATTTAAACGACAGCTCAACTCGGAAACATGGATTACTGGGTATGTTTCTCTTGACTTTTGTTTCCGTTTTATTTAGGGCTGACTTGTTTAAGTGGAGAACTTAGCTAACTGTTTTCCTTAAGGACTTACAAAGAACATAAATAGGGCGATTTACTAGAAGAACAAGTGTTAAATAACAATTTAAGCACCGCTATTGTTCTGCTGTTGATAAAAATCAATATATATGATGTAATTCCCCACATTATTGTTCTATAATTTAAATAAAACTTAAAATTTAGCCTCTGTTGGAGTCACCAACCTGCTGTAAGAGGGGTTAAAGAGCACTGCTGTTGTTTATTGTAGGGTAAAACTGGAGATCCTGTCCAGCATGAACCTGCCGGAAGCTGCAACAATGTGTTATTGTTATTAGCTGTTCATATTGGAGTGTGATTTTCTTTAAAAAGATAGCAACAGACTGCTGTTAGGGCAGATTTTACAGCCTGGATCAATTCAAACAGAACAAACCAGATGCACTTTGAACATTTAATCACTTTTCTCCTAAATAAAACTTTATTATTGTTACATTTAGTAAGTAGAGGAGGGCTGAAAACCCAAACATTGCACCCAAGTAAAAGTAAAAAGTAGCAAAAATTACTCGAGAGTAAAAAAAGCATTTGGTAAAAGTGTACTTACTTAAGTACCGAGATACTGATCAAACTATCGATCATTTAATATTTAAAAATTACAAAATTAGTCAGACCAAAATATAAAGTTAAGTGGGAATTTTGGTATTTTAAGGATGAAAATGACAATAATTTATATAAGTAACCAAAAATAAATCAGGCAAAGAACAGTGTTTCCAAATCAGTTTCTTTCACTTAAAAACTGATGAAACTTTAACAAAAACTGTCTGTGTCTGGTGAATTTTCATTTTGTTCATTTCATTCAATGGGTAGAAAATACAGAAATTTTACTCAAGGAAGAGTAGAAGTACTTCATAATAAAATTACTCAGGTAAAGTAAAAAGTACAGAGTAGTAAAAATACTCATTAAAGTAAATTTTTTAAAAAGTTAGTCAAGTAGATGTAACTAGTTGCTACCCAGCTCTGTTTGCAGATGTTTAGCTAAAAGTTGGAGGACTTGTTTGTTGTCAGCAGCCACCTCATATTCCCATGAGAGCGAAGCCTCCTGGGAGACAACAAAAGATCTGATTTCAAGCAGTCAGATGTTGTCAGGACGGGGGGGCTGAGAGAAATGGGCGTTTACGGCTCAACAATGAGGGAAACAATACAAACCAACATCCTTTGTGTGAGCTGGGTTTAAGCTTTCCTCAGGCAAAGACAGCCGAGTGGGTTTAGAGGGCTATTGGTGTGTAAAGGTGAATAATCAGTGATGCTGGTGATAACAGAGTAGAGGCCGGTTCTGAAAGCCCAACCTGGTTTGATCTGCTCTGCTCTGTTCTTTGCTGCCGTTGCACTGGATCCTGCCAAACCTGAAAGAGGAGATGCCGTCTAAACAGACAGCTGCGATGTCATCACTGCACTTCACAAATAAACGTTTAACCAACCGAATATCTTCAAACTAAAGAATTTGGCTAATTTAAAAAGTTTATTAGTTATTTTTAAAGCTAGAAATACTTTATTTAATTTACAAACGATTTTTTGTCTTAAGATCAAGTGACAGATACACCGAAGGAAATATGATTTTAAAAGTAAAAGTGTCCGGACTATTTTAAAGCAAATGTGCGTTTCAGTGCGTGGAGTAAAATTATGGAATATTCGAATGAGGATTTAAAAATACTTCATAAGGAAAAAGAAATGATTAAGTCTTTTGAATTAACAGTGATATATTGTTTGCAACTTATATTAATTTAATATATTAATTATTTTGTAATTATTGAGAACATTTATACTAGATTTTTCCTCTTTCTGCTCCCTTTTCTTTTTTTATAATTTTTTTTTTTACAATTTTTAAATTTTTCTTCAATTAGTGAATATAAAACTAAAAAATCTACAAATAAACACAAATAAAATAAACAACAAAAAAACTTTTCACTCATGTAGCATAAGTGTTATAAGAGAACGTGTTTGTATATTGATGATAAAGTTTATTAAATCAAGTCAATAAACTTATTGACTTATTGACTTCACTGTAATTTGGGGGCTGGGAGATTTTGCTTAAAAATAAAATATCAGATTTAATTTTTTTTTTTCTTTCATTTTCAAACACATTCATAAATATTTTTAAAAAGTGGCTTTTATTTCAGCCATCCATATCAGAGACTATTAGGGTCAGGTTACAAGAATTTTTGCTTAATTTCAATAATAAAGTCATAATATTAGCAGAATAAAGAAAATATTTTACCAGAAAAACATCTTAAAATTACGAGAAAAAAGTTATTGTAATGAGAAAAAAAATGGTTTAATGGAGTTTGTGTGGTTCTTTCTTCAAAATGAACCCATTGAAACTGATTTAATGCTGATGTGCTAAAAGATGAAGCATTTAATTAACTGTAAAACTTGTACCAAAGTATAGCTTTCTCATTTTCATTTTTTATTTTTTGTGTTGGAAAATCACAACAAACCAACAAAAATTTATCAGATTGTCTCTTTTACACGCTTATCTTTTTAAACCTTTACTGACATTTCTATTGACTAAATGAGGCACATTTTGTAGACTTTTATAGATGTTTTCAAGCTTCTATTTCTGTTAATTACTGTAATTTTCCTGCTTATAGTGACTGGAAACACAACATGTAAGATCAGAAAATGGCATCAAACCAACAAAAATTGTCAGATTGTAATTTTTTGTAAACTCCAGTGAGATATTATGAAGTTCGTTATTGCAAGGTGACAAAACGTGAAAAACTGAAAGGTGATGAAAACTGGAGGTCACACAGATGGTGAGTTCTTAAGATACAATGCTGTGAACCTTAAGCTTTCTCCATCTGATTGCAGCTGATGTGGAGGGTCTGTCCTATCAAAATGTCCGCCGCGGGGTTGTAAACACACCTCTGCTGAGAGATAATGGAGATAATGTTACCACAATTGTGCAATTTGATTCATTAGTATCTCGCTGCTGAATTCACACCTGAACAGAGCAAAGCTCTTTATGTTGATCAGAGGAAATGCAGGACTGTTTATAGCTGGGCGAACTTCCTCTCAACCAGTTGCCTAACACAGAGTGGGAGGAGTCACCCAGTTAGCTCAGCGTTTTCCCAACACTTTCCCCTGTAGAGGGAAGAATGTGTTATTTCCTTCCCAGGTTCTCTGTAGATCCGACAATGACTTCTAAAGTAAATCCTGAAACTTATTCCGCTTTTCTGTAATGCAGGTTAATCGACCGAGTAACGATTAATTAATAAGCGGCCATTTTATTAAGAAGAGTTTTCTCTTGCTGAGGATCTCTCCATAAGATAAGGGTTACATGTTTTAGTTTGACTTAATTGAATGTAGTGTAATATATAAACAAAGTTAAAGTCAAA